ATTTAAATCTATTTTTTCATTTTCAGTCTTTTTAGGCATGTCAAAAAGTTTTCTAAATTCGTCAGAAATGTATGGAAGATCTTCTGCATTCTCTTTACTATCATCTATTTCTTTAATTTTTTTACGAATATCATCAATTGGTACTTTATAGGATCTAACAAAAAAAAATTTAATTAAACAGTTATTTATATAATTAAATTTACCAAAATTATTTAATTGATTAAATTAATAATATTTACAAAACTTCAGGAAACCAATTTCTCCAACGACGTTGACTGGGGAATAAATAGAATAATTCAATCTCGGATATTATTTGTGCTTTTTCAGCCAAGAATGCCACTCTTGTATTATATTTTTCAATTTCATTGCCAAGCAAACCAATGAATAAATTCATTAGATACACCACTACCATGAATGAAAATATAATTACTAATGTTACAAGATATGCATCATCTTGTAACACCCAACCTTCAAATGCTCCATTATTTCCTAATAACAAAATCAACCAAATTAAATTATCATCATAATTATCATTTTAATGAAGTATAACTATTACCTGTGAGGAAATTGTACATTGCCAAGATTGAAGAAGGAAATTTTGTAAACATGTTTGTATTTCCATCAGGTTCTTGTACAAGGTATGAGTCTTGATCATATCCACTATTATTTGAAAGTAAAGTATAATATTTATCGACAAGGTTCCAAGGATTGTTAGGATCATCATTGAGAAAAGGCATATCAGTTGTAACATCTTGACTTGGTTTCAATAACAAATAGAATGCATGTGAAAAGCTCAAAATGATTATAAATATTATAATTAAGAACCAAAAGACTTTTTTAGCAACTCCTATAATAATGGCAAAATATGCTCCAAAATGTCTAAAAACCCTTAAAAACAACATAGACTTTAAATCTAACAATAGATTTGATCCAGAAATCAGCTGAATAGGTGGTGGGTTTCCACTAATTAACCACATTAATGAGGCAATGATTGGTAAGGAATAGGCACCTAAGTCTATTAGTTAACCAAACGAAAAAAATAGTATTAAAATTAATTAATTATCAAATAATAAAATAACAATAACAATAGTATAACATCATCATACTAAAGTAATTCCAAACATCAGTAATATATTTAAATGGATTTGAGATAAGTTGTCGAACTTCTATTATAAGATGAATTACCCCAAGGACAATTGTTGTGATTAGTAATGAATTTCTAGTATTATCAGATAATTGATCTGGTGAAGTGGAAGTTGCGATAGCAAAGCTCAGTAAAAATACTATATAAAAGATTGAAATTGCAAAGTAATATTTGAATCCAAAAGTTTTCCATTTGTGATCCAAGATTAATTCGCCACTCCAATTTTTGTATAATTCATTAGATTCTAATTCAACTAATTTAACAAATATACTCTTTTCTGGATCGTAGAATTCTTTCCATACTGAATACTTATTATTGTTATAAGCAAGTAATCCAGGATATGGAATTATCAATTCTACACAAGGTTTAGAAGAGCTATAATAAAATAAGCCCATTATATATTCTTTAAATTTTCTATATTGATATTTAATACTAAAAATATCAAATTTATAATAAGAATCCCAAAAACTTTTATCTTTATAAATAAATGTTTCATAATCTATGGCCTTATAAAACTTATGTCCACTATGAACACTATTATTGAATGAAAATAATATCATTGAAGTATGATTAAAGAATTTTGATAATAGTTTTTGGTGATTTTTTTGTAATCTTGGTAGTTCTGATATAATTATTTTTAATAAACCAATATTTGACTCAGTATCCTTCAAATAATTATTAAGGCAACAATCAAATATTTTTTCTACAATAATGCCATAATTTTTTTTTAATGCTATTTCTAAGATTTCTTTTCCATATTTAAGGTTATAAAAATCATCCAACATGTATAAAACCATTTCTTTATAAGGCTGTCTGGAAACTAGGTGCTTATCTTTATATGAAGACTTGATATAATGATCAATCTCTTTAAAATCAATTAAATATTCCTCGATATAGTTATCTTCTATGGCTGAGTTAATATTTTTTAATCCTTTAGAATATCTAGAACAATGGTTTTTTTTAATGAACTTTGTAAATATTTTAGAACTTTCATGATTAAATGACAAAATGTGTAGATAATGAAATGTTATTAAAATTAAGTCGTCATTATTTAGCAATTTACAATATTTAAATGTTTCGTCCCATCTAAAACCATATTCATCAATTGTTGGTAACTCTTTTTCTATTCCATCATTAATTACCTGAGCTTTTACATTGATACTTCCAAAGGATGTGTCATATTCTATTGACCATTTGATGGTTTTTCCTCTTTCAATATTGAATTTTTTAAATTCCCTTGGCAATTCATAAGTAACATCTGCCATCTTTTCATGTATTTCACTTAGTATTTGTCCTATATGTAAATAATACCTACTTTCTATGTGTATTTGTTGAAAATTGTCTAATTTTTCTCTGCTAATAATTTCTTTGATACAAATTTGATTGTTAATAATCATTACTATTTTATTATCTGATATGTTTGGCCCAAATATAATATTTTCATGTGTATCTTCTTTAATATATTCATTAAAGTAATCCGTAATATCCATAGAGTTATCTAAATTACAAGGATCTAATAATTTATAAGTGTATTTGTTTGTATTTATATGGTAGAATATTACCAATAAATATTCTAAATGACTTTTTATATAAACAAAATCCAATTTTTTAATTAAAGTATTTTTTTCCAATACAGCTGTAAACAAACATATTTAGTTTATAAATAAATAAAACCCTAAGAAAAGAAAGACGAATTTTCATCATAAATACTTACATGAAGAAACAGTAATGTGGTGCTTTAACGAAAAAACCATTATTTTTAAATCATCTTTATTATATAATGCCATTATTGTTTTGTCTTGATTAAATATTATATTCGTGTCCTCCCTTCTATATATTAAGCAACAACTAGCTTGATATGACATAGTTGTTGAGTTCCACAGTGACATTAATGAAGAATTTTGATTTAATAAAAAATAATCAGAATTTACAAAAAAATCTATATAGAAATTGCTGTAAATGTGATACATTGATTTAATGGCCAATTTACGATTTTCATTATCATATGAAAAACTGTATAAATAATTATAATAGTACATTATTAAATAATTATTTGTAAGGAAACCCCCATCATGAAAACGAGGACATATTCTATTATCAATTATGAAATCATGATAAATTTTTTTCGAAAAATCAAGCAATCCTAGTAAATTAATTTTAAGAGATGTGATTTTTTATTATTGCTTACAAATAACACAAACAATAACTAATTATATTTACTTACTATAATCTTGATATCCAAAATATAGACTATATAAAAGCACATGTTTATCATCAGAAACATCCTTTATATATATGTCATCTTTATCAAAATCGCGTTTGGAAAATTTAAGAGAGTCATCTTGCAGGATAATTCCTTTGTCATTAACTGTCCATCCAACAATGGATTGATCTTTTTTACTAAGAGTTACTAAAAACCTATAATTAGGACTAAATTTTATACAATCAATAAAACATCCGTTATGTACACCATTTGTAGTTAGATTTTCAATGATTACTGTTATTTCATGATTATCTGCTTTCTTAACTTCTATAAAATTATATTTATTTTTATTATTTTCTTTTGACATATTTGTAATGAAAAAAAAAAAAAGAAAAAAAATTTTTTTTTTTTGATAAAATGTAACGCGAATGTATTTATAAATATTTTTTTCAAAAATGTATTGGTACGGGTGACAATCAATCAACGATGTTTTTGACGCCACATACACAGATAACAAATCTAAACCTAAAATAAGTGGTTAAATTTTTATGCGAAAAACGAATCGAAAGTTCGCCGTGTCACATAGTAATAATAAATAGTGATAGCGATAGTTGGTAACGCCTATTATTTTAACAAGTATGACTGATGATGGCAAAGAAATATTAATTAATTTACGAATTAATTAGTGTACGAACATAGTAATAGTTATAGTTATAATAATAACGGACCTTGTTTATAAATAATGTTACACAAGAATAATACCGATTTTACAATAATAGATGGATGGCGTCAATTTGATTTTTGAATTATATTTACTATCACATTTCTTTGAATCCCAAATATCGTGGAAAAGGTCTTATACCTGAAAACTTATCAGATAGTTCAAAGAAAGGCTTTAATTTTGTGGCCAAAAATTGGAGGAGGATCAAAAACAGCATTTACACTTGCAATTCAAATGAATAATTATGAGGCGTTCAATTTTCCTTATATATCTGATGAACATCAGATTCCTCAATCATGATGGTTAGGATGTAATCAACCAAGTAATCATTTGCAAGCTGTGAACATGTTTCTCAATATTAAATTAGTTTACTCATAAGATATAATAATATTTACTTTATTAAAATGGAAAAGGTATCTATCTAATATGGCACGATTTCATTCATTTTACACATCAAGAACTTAATTATGAAGCCTTCAACCAGATTATGCCGATTCTCTTGCCTTTGATTCAGATATGTTTGTTGGAAAAGTAGAAGATATTTGAGGATTAATTCCTGATAAAGAGGAAGAAAATGATAATAATCCATTAAATAATTCAGATTTATTAGTATGTAATTTAATTGATTTGAATCATATGATTGATGATTCAGAGTGTGATATTCTAGCCAGTGTTAATCATTTGAATAGTAATAATTGGTTTTAGATTATTAATAAATTGATAGTTTTTTTTAATTATACAGTTGTTAAAGTGTTAATATTATAAATTCACTATATTGTATTAATAAATTCCAACTGAATTCCCATAGCAAATTAGTAGTAATGATATCAATTCGGCAATTCAACAATTTGACATTAATATTATGGTGATGTAATTCATTTTGACATATGGGCATGTATTAATCACATCACCATATGAATTCGGCATTACTATTACCCATTTGGAAATAAATCTGGGAACATCCATGCCTCTAAAATCAAGGTTACCAAATAAGACTGGAAGCGTGACACAATCAATCCTGCTATCAACCTGACCTGTGTAATTGCATCTTTGTCATACACCTCTAGAAGGAAAGAATCATCTGTAATGACCAAATCAGGCAGATATGACGTTCTATTACTACACTCATTTGCCGTGTATTATATTAATATGTATTTCTTTTATTGATGATAAAAAAATAACGCATACATTACGACGCTTGAGAATTTGTCCCACCGAAGTGTCATCAAAGTGTCATCAATTTCATTATAAACAGACTTTGTGAGGTAGTTATCGCAATTTAATTGCGTGATGAAAAAATAACACTATCCAAGCATAGTTCTTTGGAAAAAATAAATTATATAAAAATCAAACTTACACGATCATCTTCAGGTTCAGGTTGATTTGTTTGTTCAATTTTCTTCTAAATTTCATATAAATGCCTTTTAATGCTATTATATACACCATCACTTCTTGTTTTGATATTACTTTCTTTCTTTTCTCCAAATCAGACAAGTCAGTTTCAGTTAAACTGCCATCATAATAATTAGATTTTCTTTTTCCTTGTAGAAACTTGAACATCTTTATCACTTCCACAGGTCAAAATTGGTGCATCATCGTGAATTTCGTTGCTATTCCAAAGACTTTGAACGTTAATCTCAGTAGTAACTCTTTCCCAGATGATAATCTGGTCGTGCATCCTTAAAATAATAATAATAACAATAACAATAACAATAATAATAATTAGTGTTCTCGACCATATAATTATGTTCTGATTTTTCATCCCATCAATTCGTCATGACTGTGTAGAAAAAACAAAACACATTTCTTATAATCATTTATCGCTATTGTCATTGTTGCTGATCTATAGTATTCATTATTATATCAGGAATTGAAAAGGCTTCCGTTGTTTCCACTCTTTAAAATATGTGATCGCTTCAATTGGAATTGCCTCCACAACTATCAATGGCATTACAATACATACATATAAATTTGTCGAAAAATAAATACATCAAGTGGAAATTCGTAAAAACATCAACTATTGATCTTATTGCGAAGTAGCATCTATTCTTGATGGTATAATATTAAAAAAAAATAATTATGTATATCCATATATTTTTTAATATTGGATTGTTCACTCTGGTGGTTTTTAGCAGTTACCACCAGTTTTTAAAGATTATGATATATTGTTTTGCTTCGAAATAAAATCACGGATAAATGCATTCAAATATGTTTGTTTTTTGGACAACATTTGTAATCAACAACATTCGTCGTTGTTGTCAATCGTTTTAGCTTCCAAATATTCCTCATTCATTGGAAACCCCATTTTTGGGAAGTCGTACATCATGTGAACTTGTAAGCCAGATAAATATTTATCAATAGTAAATTTCATTTACATATTTCTATTTATATATTGTCCTAATTGAGGTTTTTTCTTTTTATTACCTTTCAGGTCTTGTAAATGAAATACGATTGAAAGTAACGAGAATGTTAAAAAGACATTGATTTACCTCAATAATGGAATTGTATGCAACCAACTACCAAGTAACTATAATCAATACTTATTAAATTCTAAAAGTGCACTTACGAAGCAGATTGTCGCGACAAAGGAAGGAAATACAACAATAACTCGACCAAATTGAACTGGATGCCGAAAAATGGTTCGCTTTAAAGGAGAGGAGAGAAAGGATGTGGTATGAATTGAGTAATAATTAATTGCTTTTTTTGCTTGTTTTTTAGATATTATTGTTATCTGTATTTCACTCAAGAAAATTACCTTTATTGGGTTCACATTTTAAAATATCGATGAAGGTCTTTCTGCATGTTTTCCAGAAATTCAGCAAAAATATGGAAATTTCGACAACTAGAAATGATTATCAACTTTATGAGAAATGAATATAATAAGATTATTAAATGCAAAAGGAATGTTTTTTATAATACAATCACAAAAACAATTTTGGATCCAGGAAAAGAGAAATATCCAATAGTTTTAAAGAAATCACACAAGGAAATGATGATGGTGGTAGTGATAAATCAGGTATTAATACATTATCCAATGTCAATAGTAATAAATTGATGTCAACATCAGAAAGGGTGCTAAAGATATTTCGATACTTGGTGACAGTCATAGGACACGCCCAGGAAAAAGGGTTCAAATGAAATGTTTATGACTTAGTTATGAACCAGAGATTCTTCCGTCCATCAATTTAAGCATTTGCCCTTTTCGTATTATTAATTAGTTTTTCATGTTTCAATCCTCTTAATACTTTGGTAAAACATAAAATACTATATATAATAATAAACCTATTATTATTATTACTGTATGGACTTACGATATAATATTAATTGTATCTCTTTGTTTTTATCAACTAATAGCAAATTATATACATATTTTATTTCCCTGCTGTAAACAGTAATCAAACGTGATTTCCGAACAGAGAATAAAATTTGGCTTCATTATCATTTTTATTGTATGATACTCGCCAAATGTCTGAATAATAGCTTTCTTTAACAACCGACACATTTTCAATTGGTTTGTCAATGATCATATCCAAAAGAAAAATGCACAATTTGGTCAATGTTGTACAATACTAATACAAGGATTTGGTGATTCATTTTAGTATTAGTATTGGCATCAATGGATTGTTTAACAGAGTTAACCCTAAACCTTAATTCGCAATTCGCCAGAAATACATATTGCAGATTAGGGCAAAATTTCCTTGTTCCATACAATATTAATATTAATATATGTATCACTATAATTTTTGATAGTCAAACACAACTTTAAAATCGGCTCGAGATTATAGGTAGAAAAATACATATTTGAATAAATTCATTTATAATAATAATAAAATTGATTATTTCACTTAGGGAAAAGCAATAAAAGCCATTTATTTGTTTATTTATTGTTTTTTTCCTTTTTAAATAAATAATAATAATAATTATTGTTTTTTTTAATTTTGCTTTTTAAATAAATATTATTATTATTATTTTATTTATATTAACATATAGTTCAGTATATCTATAACGAACCTTTCATCCCTATATGTAATTTTTATGCTATAGAGAGGGTTTATTAATATGTTCATTATAGAGAGAGAAATTAATATTAATTATAAAAAAATGAATTGGGACAAAATAGAAGTCCATTATAGAGAGATTTTATTTAGTGTTCGTTATAGAGAGAGTGAACTGTACAAAGAAAGAATTTAGTCGCATAACAATTCTTTCTGATCGTTTATCATCCTTTTTTTTTAATGCAATGTTGTATAGAGTAGGATATTTTGATCTTGAATTTCTAACACTGAAAAAAAATTAAATTTACAATAGTTAATCAAAAGTTTGACCTTTATTAAATAAAACTGTGCATCTTAACAAATAATTTCTATTCTCTAAATAATATTAATAAATAATAATAATGATGATCGCGTAATAATTCTTTTCTGATTGATTGATTGTACATCTATTTTTTTGGAAAAGAAAAAAATTAATAATGGTGTATTGATAGTAATATATTGATTGATAGTAGTATATATTATATATTAAATAATATATTCATACTCCCAATTAATATTAATATGTTTTAAATTTAATAAAATTTAAATAATAATTCTCTGCCCATCATAAATCAGCTGTTATATTTGTTATCTTTCAATAAACTATTTTGTTTTAAATATAGTTCAAATTTTAACATCCCTCCCCAAGATTTTCAAAATTTCTAGGGGTTAGAAAATTTCAATTATAAATCACGTGATTTAACTGTGTTACAAATCACGTGACTTTGTGTGCAACAAAAAATTTTGGTGAAAAATAATTTTTCTCTGCCGACCACTCTAGTGATTGAAGGCTTTTCATTGATGTTTATTTTATTTTGTTTGTTTAAATTTCAAATATTGTGTAATGTAACTTTACAATACACGGCAAACATTCTGGCAATAAAAAGCAAGTGATAAATTGGATTTGAATTGAATCTGAACTTGATCTCCAATTTAGAGAGGTAACAACTATATACTGGTGAAGTTTCAGGAGCAATGGGTTCTATATAACATTTCGTGTAATAACAAACTTCCACTATGCTTCCCTCCCCCCTCTTAATTTTCAAAAAAAAGGATGCTAAACAAATTGAACGGCCTAATAATAGTTAATAACACTAAAGCAAATAAATATGGTAAACATAGCATGGTGGACATTCGAATGTTGCACCAATTTTTTATGCCGTGTAACGTAATTTTTAAAGTAAAAAAACAGTGT